TGTTTTCGAACTGCTAGGTCAGCCTACTGAAAGAGAGAGATCTTCAACTGAGTTTTGAGTTCTGACAGCTGATTTAGCTGTCAGATCTCTTCCAGCGTGTCATTCCACAATCTTGGGACAGTTGATGAAAAGGTCCTCTGGGTAGAATGAGAGCAGTTTACTTTGACATAAGCAATGTATTTGGGCATTTGTACTCTGCCTCGAACCACAAGGAGAGGCAGGTAATAAATTATTGTTATTGTTGTATTGTTGTTATTATTAATTCAGGTATAGTGGTGTGGGTTCAGGAGGTGACTAAAGCCTCAGTTTTATAGAACCACTGCTTATGAAATCATCTTTGGTTTTGGAAGACTGCAATGGCTGTTGCCCACCTTGGGAACAAGGAATTCAGAAGATTAGCAGCAGAGTCCAGCTCTTGCCATTTTCTGATGGAATGGTGTATTTGACTTTTAAAAAGGATATGTTTCTGATCCTAGTGTGGAAACCTGAAACTGGCTAATAGCAAGCCCTACTGAAATGTACTGCATTGACTGGAAGTTGCCAGAGGGTCATGCTGGACAATCTAGGAATGCTTAAGGAATGCAACATTATGATAATGTTTAGTAGAAGCATACCATAGAATTGCCTAGAGCAGGGCTTCTTAAAATTTTCCCACTGTGACCCTTTTCTGCCCGGGAAATGTTTACGCGACCCCAAGTATATAGGTATATAAAATAGGTATAATAATAAAATATTTGCTGATCATAAATCAGCAATTGCAAAACTTTTTAAACAGGCTGATGATTCTTTTTATGAAGTACAGCTGAAGTATTTTCTTCAGAGTACACTATAAACACTGCTCAATTACTTAGGCGATCCCTCGTAGCCCGAGGATGCTCGTCTTCCAAGTGTAGTGTCTTGACAATGGATCCATAGGTGGCTGTGTAGCCCTATTCTTGATCCGCATGTTCTCCCGCAGTAAGGACATTGGTTTCCAGGTGGAAGGCAGCCCCAGTCAGGGTTGGCTTGATGCACCTTCCTCTTGGCACATTTCTCCCTTTCGCCCTCCATTCGTGCTCTTCAAATTGTGCACCACTGCTGGTCACAGCTGACCTCCAGGGCTTCCCAGTTCTCGGTGTCTATGCCAGTTTTTAAGGTTGGCTTTAAGCCCATCTGTAAATTTCTTTTCCTGTCCACCAACATTATGTTTCCTGTTCTTGACTTGGGAGTATAGTAACTGCTTTTGGATATGGTGATCAGGCGTTCGGACAACATGGCCAGTCCAGCGGAGTTGATGGCATAGGAGCATCACTTCAGTGCTGGTGGTCTTTGCTTCTTCCAGCACTGACATTTGTCCACCTGTCATCCCAAAAGAGTTGCAGGATATTTCAGAGGCAACGTTGATGGAATCGTTGCAGGAGTTGAGTGTGACATCTGTAGACAGGAGTATAGCAGAGTTGGGAGGACAATAGCTTTATAAACAAGCACCTTGGTATCTCTATGGATGTCCCTGTTCTCAAACACTCTCTGCTTCATTCAGAAAAATGCTGCACTCGCAGAGCTCAGGCAATGTTATATTTCAGTGTCAATGTTGACTTTTGTGGAGAGGTGGCTGCCAAGGCAGTGGAAATGTTGTAAATTTTCTAATGCTACACCATTAAGCTGTATTTCTGGCATTGCAGAGGGATTGGCTGGTGTCTGTTGAAGGAGCACTTCTTGCTAACACTGCATGTTCTTGCTAATAGATTTGTGTAAATGTCTGAAACAGCCACTCGGTTTACTGTTGCCAAATTTTTGCAACCAATATTGAGCTAAAGGGATTGCGTTTCGGGTTGAGTTTAAGAAACAGTGGCCTAGGGGACCTAAAAAATTCTTAGAGATGACATATCTTGTGGGTAGGTGAAACTGTCAATATTGATCCCATAGATCCAGTTGTTTTACTACATGTTGTAAGCCACTTTGAATTCCTTTAAAGGGAGAGGAGGCAGGATTAATCCTTTAATTAATACTGTGTAATCACTCAGCATCTCAGTGGTAGCATTAAACATCCAGCTTTGGACTGATCACACAAAACTAGGAACACCTTTGATTACTTTTCAAGTTTCAGATTTTTGATAATTTGTCTAGGCATTTTAGTTTTGCTAATCTCTCAGTCTGTTTCATTTAATTTAATTTAATTTTTGTTAGCATTATGTTGCATTTTATTTATTTATTTACTATATTTATATATTGTCCCTCTCAGCCTGCAGGCGACTCGGGGCGGTTTACAATTGGTGCCAAGACCATAAAATACAATTTCAATAAAATAAAAACAATCAGATAATGATTTTATGATGGTATAGCAATGTCTTAATACGGATGATGTTTGTAGATTACTAAAGCATGCTTAATTGGCATGTTAGCATGTTGGCTGTGCTCTCCAATGCTCTCCAACTTTTTGGGACCACAGCAAGTTTGACTTTCTTTAGCTTTAGTGCAATGGTTGCTTAATTGTACTCCGTGTAGTAAGAAGGCCTAAACTTTATCTGACAGCAAGATCTTGTGATCTTTCAGTGATTTATCCTCTGTTCTGAGCCAAAACAAAAGAGCATTGTAAATAGTAAGAATTTAATCTGATCCAGATGTGGTTCCATCATCAATGGACATGTTACAGGAATTCATTCTGGCTTTTCATAATTGACAAAATGAAAATGACAACATCTTGTAGCTTTCAAAGGCTAAAACATAATTAAGAGTTTAACATGAAAATACAGTAGATTTATACTTTTTTGAATTGTCAACTTCTTTCACTGTAGAAGAGTACAGATATTTCGGATAACTACACAGACATAATATTTGTTTGTTTGTTTGTTTATTTATTTATTTATTAGATTTATACCTTGACCTTCACACCCTGAAGGGGACTTGGAGCGGCTAATAAGTAGAACAGATATATAAATGAAATAAACAATGCATTAACAACCATAGAGTTAAAACATCTAAACATTTAAACCAATTATAAAATCACACAATCCAAAATCATAGTCCGGGAGCCTTTCCAGTCATTATTGCACTTGTTCCGTTTCAGTTATTGCACTGAGTTTATTGTCCAAAGGCTTGGTCCTACAGCCATGTTTTTTAACTTCTTCCTAAAGGTCAGGAGGGAGCGAGCTGGCCTCATTTAATTGGGGAAGGGAGCTCCATAGCTGAGGGGCCACCACTGAGAAGACCCTGTCTCTTGTCCCTACCAATTGTGCCTGCAAAGGAGGTGGGACCGAGAACAGAGCCTCCCCCAAAGATGTTAAACTCTGACATAGTTCATAGAGGGAGACACGTTCAGATAGGTAAGCTGAGCCAGAACCGTTTAGGGCTTTATAGACTAAAGCCAGCACTTTGAATTGTGCTCAGTTCAGACTGGCAGCCATTGGTGCTGATGCAGCAGTGGAATTGTATGCTCCCTGTACTCCGCTCCATTGAGCAGCTTGGCTGCCACCTGTTGGACCACTTGAAGCTTCCGATCAGTCTTCAAAGGTAAACCCATGTAGAACGTGTTGCAGTAGTCTATTCAGAATGCAACAAGAGCATGGACCACTGTGGCCAAGTCTGGCTTCCCAAGGTATGGGCGCCACTAGCACACAAGCTTTAATTGTGCTAAAAATCTCCTGGCCACTGTCGAGACCTGGGGTTCCAGGTTCAGTGATGATAATAATTTCATCAATGATGATGGGGAGTTTCCACCTCCTCCATGGTTACATTTGGAGAGGTGCATTAGTACATTTATTGTTAGTTTCTTATGTTGGGAATGTATGAACTAAAGATTTCATATAAACCTTGAAAATGTTACTTTTTTGGAAAATAGTATACAGTGCCTTGTGAGTTTTCTGTTTGTTGCATTACAGTATTATGTTGTACTACTACTTTGCATTGTGAATAACATTGAAGAAAATACCTATACAGACATATCTCAGCATAGCCTCTCACAAATATGTACCTCTTTACAAAGTCTTTTTATGCCCCTTGGCTGCCCTTTTTCTCTTAACGAATTGGACCATTTAAAAAACATCAGTAGCCTTGGGAGGATCTTGAAAGAGAGACGTTGGGTAGTCAAACTGCAGTAAACAATGCAATAAATCTTGAGCTGGGATTCTGCTGTCACCAAACCTGTTCTAGGCATGGAGGTCTGCCAACAACAGGAAAGGCAAACAGCAGCTGCCTCCAGAATCCCTTACTGAGTATGGGCTTATCTACATAGAACCATTCTTGCAAAAAGAGGTGAATCAGCTCTGTGATGGCTGCATGACTCATAGAGCTGATTCAGATTAAGGTGGATTTGAACTGCATTAAGAAAAGTTGCGGGTTGCTACAAATTTTCCCTGAGAATCCAGAGCAAACCATGACTTTGGACCCATATAAAACAGTTAGGCTGGTTCTGAGATTTAGCCAGTGTCAACTGTTTACACAGCCATCCTGTATTCCCTGGGCTCAGGTGTCCCAGGGACACAGGATAGCATTTATCACTCCTAACCTCAGTCCTTTGTCGTAGCTGTGATCTCCAGGAATATCAACAATTTAAGATATGCAGATGATAATGTACTACTAGCAGAAAATAGCAGTGACTTAGAATGATTATTTAAGTAAGTGCAAAGGCAAGTTTACAGCTGAACATTAAGAAAACAAAAGTAATGACCATCACTGGTTACATTGCGGATAGATAGACTCAAGGAAGCCACAACACTGAATCTGCAAGCCTGGGTAACCGAGTGAATTGGAGGTTTCTCATTCATAGATTTGCCAAAAGTTGAGTTAATGGCAGTTAACAACAATGCAACAAGAATTTGTGGCGTTATTAAGAGAATATGATTTACAAGTATCCAAAATAAGTACATAAAAGAGCAGGCAGTATACAAATTTTGTAACATGTGAAGTGGTGCTTTTTTTTCTTTTTTCTTTTGGTAAAGCCATCAATAATCCTGAGATAGTTTGGATCTCCTTGTTTAGTAACATTTTGGGTTTGTTTTGTTTCCTTACTAGGTAGAAGTTCTTCGTCCTCAGCCAGGCTGGGTTGAATTGAATCCTGACAGTCTATGGACGCTGTTTGTTGATGTGGTGAAAGAGGCAGTTCAAGGTAACCATGAAATTAAATGGCGATTGCGAAACAGAATTTTTGGCATTGCTGTTGCATTTATTTTACTGCGTCTTATCAGAATCTAGATCATTGTGATATAGCTCACAATGTGTAAAAAGCAATACAGTAAAATACATTAAATAATAATAATTCAAGGAGGAACCTAAATAAACAAATTTATGATGCCCAGCATAATCCAAGTGAATTGATGGGATTTGCATAAGTTTCAACTATTGCTTTAATGCACTGTTTCTAGTTACAACTGACAGGATTTTTAATAGCTTGCATTCCTGCATGTTTACTTCATGAATGCAAGATATAATTGCATTAAATGCTATTTCACCTGGATGGGTTATCTAATATCACATGATCATTCCACTAGGGTTAGTTGAACTGGTCTCCAAGGCAAGTATGATAGAATTGCAACTAAATTCATAAATGAGTATATGCACAGCATCATGTAGAACTCCACAAGCAAATAAATCACAATTCTAATAGTTATATAGATAAATCAGTAGTTCCCAACCTTTGGTCCTCCAGGTGTTTTGGACTTCAGTTCCCAGAAATTCCAGCCAACTTACCAACTGTTGGTAATTGTGGGAACTGAAGTCCAAAACATCTGGAGAACCAAAGATTGGGAACCACTGAGATATACAGAGCTGTAGATATATGTCTATAAGTTGCATATGATGGGGTAAAGCAAGGCCACGTAAGCAGTTGACCTGTGGATAAGTTGACCCAGGAATTTGGGGTTGATTTTTTTTACTTAAATGTCCACACTTATACATGAGTATGTAGAGTATGTGCTTTCAAGCTACCTGTGGGCTTATGACAACCCCATGGACTTCATAGGGTTTTCATAGGCAAGGGGGTGCTTGGCTTGTCATGTTCTGAATGTAACCCATAACACCTTCAAGTGCAACAAGATCTGTTCCTATTTAGCTTCTGAGATCCAGTGTCTTCAGAATATTTACATTTTTAATAGGACAGTCCTTGGGGAATGGGATAGACCTTCAAAAGGAAGTGCTTCTTTTTCCTGTTGTAAATGGTAATAAATTGTCTCCTTCCTACTCATTGCCCTCAACTGCCTGTGAACAGGACTGTGGATACACTAATCAAAATCAATATACCTTTGTCCAATTTTTTCATTTTGTGGCAGGCCATGATCATCTGTTTTCTTGAGAGACTGGAGAAACGAGAGAAGCCAAGAGTTGTATTAGAGTAAATTAGGATGTTCAGGAGGAGGGAAAATAAACTTGTTTAAAAATAATCATGGTGTTATATATGTCTGTTCTTAAATAGTTCCCACACTGTTTAGAGCTTATTGTTAGGAAATTATATGCAGCATAGAGTTGTACTTCCATAGATAAATAACACGTTTTTAAGTGCCGGGTGGCTGTTTTTTCTTTCCTCCCACTCTTTCCTTTTCTTTTAATTACTGCCTGTGTTCCTTTACTTGTGCAAGATACAAGTTTTGAGAGGCAAGATGACTACTTTTCTGAAGTTTACTATTTCCTTTAATTTAGTTTTTTCTGTAGTGAAGTGAAAACATCCATAGAATAGATAGTTTAATTGATCACAAGAGTATTTTTTCTTCGTGTCCTCCGTGAAATGCACACTTATGGGTTATCCTTTCGCGCATGCGCAGCAATCCGGAACTTTCTAGAATTTTAAATGATTTTTAAATGATTATTTAAGTACAATATAAGCCCCGCCCATCCCCCGCCCCCCCGGTATATAGGCCCTGCCGTGCGCCTGAGAGGTAGTTCCTTTTTCCGCGCCAAACAGGCAGCATCGCAGGACTCTCTCTACGGACTTCTTTTGGCTTCTTTTTACTCAGGACCGTCTCTCGACCTCCCAAACTCTCCTTACCTGACTCGGACCGGCTGACGACTCTCTTATTCAGGCTAGAATGTCTTCCCTTTGTTTTAAAAATTGCTCTGCCTGCGGGGCTAATCTCCCTGAAGCAGACAGGCACTCTAAATGTCTCCTTTGCTTAGGAGAAACCCATAATCTCCAAACGTGTGAGATTTGCCAAACCTTTACTTCCAGAGCACGCAAAAGCAGGGATGCCAGACTGAAAGCACTGCTTTATGAACGGGCCCTGGCCCCGCAAACGGCTCCCACCCCTTCCCAATCCTCCCCGGTACAACAGACCTCCCAGCCTTCCTCCCCACACGCTGGGGATAGGCGAGACAAAAACCAGGCAGACACTCCCATTGGGGAGCCGCCAAAAAAGAAATCTAAGGCACCAAAACAGACCACGAGGTCTTCAAAACCGAAAGAAAAAACTAACAAACAGAAAAAGGGACGGCAACTCACTGGCACACAGCCCTTGAGCCCCCCTATGCTACAAACTGTGCCTTTCCTTCCCGGTTCCGCCATGCATCTGCAGGATCCGCTCCCCAATATCCTCCAACTGGAAGACCCCTCCCACCTTCCTCCCCTGGAGCTTTTAGCTCCACACCTTGAGCTGGAGACACAGCCTCCTACTGATCTCTCTGTCTCACCCCCCCCCCTCCCCCCGTCTCAAACCTCGCCTCCTCCCTCTCCCAGCCCTCCCCAATCCCCGGAACCGGGCGAATCCCCTTCGCCCACACAGCCCAGCACCTCGGCGCAAGCTGCCGGACGCCGCCGCCGCTCTCCGTCCCCGGCTCCGCGCCGCGCCGAAACTCCCTCTCTCCCTCCGCCCAAGAGGATGCGCTCCTTCCCTTCGGAACATCAGCAGCCTTATGGCTACCACGACTACCCTTACCACCTCTACCCTCCTCCTCCTCCTCCTCCTCCTTTCCCCTTCTATCCTTATTATTACCCTCACCCTCCTGATAACTTCAGGGGATCCCACCCTCCGCACATCCCGGATCCAAACTCCCCTCAACCTCCACGTGACCCTCCTTCAGCCACTCTCTCTCGCCCTCCAGATCTCCAAGCAGAGTTGGACCCTCATACCTTCCCTTTAGATCCAAACATGCCCCCCCAACTAGACCCAGAGACCATTGATTTAGAGTCTACAGACGACACACCAGTTATCCAGGACCCCCAACCAGACCCTGATCCCTCCCCTCAACATGTAGAGGACTTTAAAAAATTTTCAGCACTATTGATAAGACTCGCTAGATCTTTAAATCTTACCACACCTGAGCCCACAGACACTGTGACAGACCCATGCTTCACCTCTACTGAACAACAAACACCTACATCCACTGTGTTGCCCACTCTTCCATTTTTGTTGAAAATTCTAAAAAATACAGGAGTTGCGCCAGCCTTGGTTCCAGCAACTCCTAAAAGAGCAGAAAACTTGTACCGTATTGATCTATCCACAGCCTCATGGCTCTCTAAAATGCCCAAGGCAAATTCTGTGGTGACCGATGCTCAACCAAAGCCTGTTCAAAGAAACCAAGCATCCCCCTCTGACAAAGAAGGGAGGAAGCTAGACTCTATGGCCAAAAAATTCTATTCCTCAGCATGCCTTTTCGCACGCATGGCCCATTATGGGGTTTATATGAGTGTATACCAGACTTACCTCTGGAACAAAATATCCCCATACCTAGACCTATTACCACCAGCTGACCAACCATTGGCTAAAGCCTTCCACGAGGAAGCCCTCCTATTGTCCAAATTGCAAAAAGACCTAGCAAGAAATACTGCTGACACTTCTGGAAAACTTATTGCAGGCTCAGTAGCCCTCCGCCGCCATGCATGGCTTAGGGCAGCAATTCTTTCCCAATCTCAACGGTCCCTCATTGAGGACCTCCCTATGGATGAAGCGGGCCTGTTCAACCCAGAGACTGATTCACAATTGGAACACTCTCATAAAATGAAACAAACAGCTGGCTAAAGACATGAAACGCCTTAAGGCCCAGTACTTTATAAGAGCAAACAAACCAGGAAGATATTTGGCGAAAAAACTTATGAAGAGGAAACAGCAAAAATACATAACTCAGATCAAGAAGGGAGACAAAATTTACACCAAAGAAAAAGAAATTGCCGAACAATTTAGAATCTTCTATCAAGAGCTTTACAAAAAAGACCCAATAGACAAAGAAGATATAATGGCCTTTCTCTCTAAACGTAAAATCTCAAGAATTTCCGATATGGAAAGAGAATATATGAACAAACCGATTACGGAAGAGGAAGTGACAAAAGCTATAAACAAACTAGCAGCTAACAAATCTCCAGGACCAGATGGCCTCAATGCCCAATACTACAAGATCTTCAAGGAAGAAATAATATGTCATCTGAAAGATATAATGAATAACATCATGAGAGGCGGCGATATACCAGAGACGTGGAGGGAAGCCAACATCACGCTCATACACAAAGAAAATACAGAACCTACCAATCCAAAAAACTATCGCCCTATTTCGCTGCTAAACTATGACTACAAACTATTTACAAGTCTTTTAGCAGAAAGATTTAAAAAGCTATTACAAGATAGAATAAAGGAAGACCAACGGGGATTTCTGCCTATAGGCAAATGAGGGACAATATAAGGACTGTGATAGATATTATCGAACTGTACGAAAAAAACCCACAAAAAAATATAGGCCTATTATTTTTAGACGCGGAAAAGGCCTTCGACCGCACAAACTGGGACTTCATAACAGCAGTATTAACAGAAATGGACATTGGCTACTCCATCAGGAATGTCATAAGAGCTCTTTATACAAACCAAACCGCAACAGTAATAATTAACGGTCAACAATCAGACAAGATAAATATCCAGAGAGGTGTGAGACAGGGGTGCCCCCTGTCCCCCCTCCTATTTATATTGGTATTAGAAATCCTGTTAGACAACCTAAGGGAAGATAAAGAACTGGAAGGTCTGAAGATCAGATCGGAGGAATATAAGGTCATAGCCTTCGCTGATGATCTTGTATGTATAATAGACAATCCAGTGCAAAATACCACCAAGTGGATAGATAAGATCGAGGCCTTTGGAAGACTGGCAGGAGTTAAAATAAATAGAAACAAAACAAAAATGCTAACAAAGAATGTAA